GTCATGGATTGAACAGAAATATGAACAATTATAAAATACTTTATTATTTCATAATAAAGTAATTATAAAATAATTTCTTTGTGTTTATTTGATTCCTATTCAAGAGAATTACTTTATATATAGTCAATATAGGCACAGAGGTAAACATTTTTAACATTTTCTAATGGTGGTGTGCCTCGTGATTTTTTTCATGAAAAAAGTGTGCCTTTGCACAAAAAAGGTTGAAAAACACTGCCTTAGCTGATTTATATGGGTGGGGGGTACAGTTCTAGTGGATGTTTATATAATATGGGGGGGGGGCGAAAAAAAATGTTCTGCCCCGGGCGCCAATAACTCTGGTTACGCCACTGTGTGTGAGCGACCCCCATAGGAATGTATGGGATTTTATTTGCAAAGGGAATTCATCAGCTGCGAGGAGTTCTGCTTTAAAAAAAAAAAAAAATTGTCTTGAACTATATAATTTTTAAAGATAATGTTTCCCTTCCCCATTAAAAAAAAGATGAATGCATGGAGTATAAATTTCCGATAATGGTGGTGGGGCCGTTAACCCGAGCGGTAGCAAAGAAAATGAATACAACTGGAACTGAACAAGGCAATCAGGTTACAAGTTTAAAGGAGAACTATGGGGCTTTTCCCCATAGTTCTCCTTAGTGTAACGGGAGGACACAAACTAGCGAAAGCTGGCTTTGCCTATCTAGAGGCAGAGGGAGCTGTACCCTCACCCTCCCCCGTCCGTTCCACCAGTCAGCGCTGGCGGATCAGAGCGGGGAGGGGGGAATCCAGCCCCTCCCCTGTCACGGCACAGAGCCGTGACAGGATCGAGAGGCGAGCGAACGCTGGTATGTGTTAGCTCACCTCCCGATCTACTGAGCCGACCTGTGACAGTCTCATTGTCACAGGTCGGCTAGAACTATGAGGTGAGTGAAAAACACTCACCTCATAGTTCTCCTTTAAATGTCATCTGATTGCCACTGAACTTGACCATTTGCTGGGTCATTCGTGAATGATCGTTTCTATCAGGGACGTGCGGTCAGGGGAGGAAGCTAGTATTATGCATTAAAAAGCTGTCAGCTTCAAGTCTGAAGCTGACATCTTTTTCTCCATTCAGAGCTGCTTGTTACAGGTTACACAGCAGGGAAAGCCTCCCCGCTGTGTAACCTGTCATAGAGGGAGTGTTGCCTGTTAATTACAGGCAGCTCTGTATCCGGCTTTTGACAGGTAGTTAGGTTACACAGCAGCGGGCTTCCCCACTGCTTGTGTAACCTAACTTGGTGGGGCAAGAGGTGTCACAGCCTCTACTCTGTGTTAGAGGTGTGAGCTCTGTGGATGGCTTGGACCAATAGCAAAGCACCATTGGTCCAAGCTGTCCAATCAAAAAAAAAAGAAAAAAAAAGTGAGAACATCGATCTTGATGCCTCACCAGTGATGAGCAAGTGAGGGACAGGGAGGATCCTCCCTGTCTCCTCCCTTCCTCCTTCCCACACAGCTTGGTTACCGAGCTGGGGGCAGGGCTTTGGTGTTATGGGGGCAGAGCTTCAGGTGGATGGGGTGGAGCTTCGGCGGGACGGGGGATGCCTCACCCAGCACAGCACACACTTGGGCACACACTTGGGCACTGGTCTAAGATGCAAGTCAGAGAACCTGAACTTCAATGCTGTCGCTTCTTCTCCAAAGTTAGTGCATGTCCAGTCAAAACATTTTTTTTCAGTTATGGATTTAGCTGTTAAGGCTGCTTTCAGACCTAAGTGTGAGAGTTCACAGGAGATTTCGGAGCATTTATATTTGCGTGTTTTTGGAAGTTTTTTTTTTCCCCCCAGGTGTATTCCGGATTGAGAGTTTTTGTTTTAGCCAATGGAAGGCTAAGTACTAGGAGATGAAGATTGTTTAACCTTGAAAAACGCAAATTTTCAAGTGTTTTTCAGACAGTTCCATTGACATCTGTGGTGAAAAATGTCCCATTTTGCTTCAACATTAGCTCATGTACCTTTTTCAGCTTAAGGCATTGAGCTACAAGCATCTGAGCGCTCAGATGTGAACAAGCAAAATTTAAATGCATGGGATTTCGGTTGTTGAGCATTTTGGAGCTTTGGGCCTCAAGCTATATAACTCAGCTCTAAATTAGAGCATTGGTTTAGAACCCATGCCAGCTTGTTACTACTACCTGGGGCTCTGTTGGACAGATTTACCCTCACTTCTAAATGTATTTTCTTTATTAGATTAGGTGAAAGCTAGAACCTTTGTCAGATTTTTATTTCTGTCTACTGTATGTCCCTGTTGCAGATTTTTCCTCACTCTGTCTGGTGAAAGCATTGTCAGCAGGGCAGAAAGTGAGGGTAAATCTCTCTAATGGAGCCCCGAATAGCAAGAATTCTAACCCTTCCTCACTATGTTCAAAATTAGAAAACATTTTTGGCTCCTTTATGGTCTCATTTGAAGAGGCTGTCTATCTTAAGCAACCAAGTCCCTCTGGTTCCTCCTAACTCAGTTGTCAGATGTATGCAGCTCTATAGAAATTGTATCATTTGAAGTGTATGAATAGCCAACACTTTTTTTTCTGTTGGGGATAGAGCGGTAAAGGGTTAAAACCAGTCAGTTTCTTTTTTCTGTCTATGCTCAACTGAGAGCTTTTTGACTCACTTAATCTTCCAGAGACTCATTAGGAAGTTAGAGGAAATCTCCAAATGGCGGGGAATTCCCATTTTAAGCAACTGTCTCTGAAATTGTTAATCCCATTGGAGTTTTTCCTCTTACCGCTTGTTCTGCGGTAAAATTTTGGATTTCCCCTCTCTCTCAGAGACAATGGTCACCAGTACAAATAGAAGGGTGAATCTCCCCAGTAGGAAATGCCAGGTTTGCTTTGAAAAAGAGTGGTTTATTGTAACACTGTGACATACTGTATGTCCATGCTAACTGGACTGAATTTAAACACAGTTAGCCCCTATTTAAACCTGAGTGGTGTGTTAATACACACCAGGGTGGACCAAAGCACGCACATACACTATTTTTCTTGACACAGCAGAGTAGTGCATTACTGCACTTTACTGTGCTCTGCAATGCAGGCGCAAAGCTTTAGTGCGATGGAGGGTGCCATTCAAAACAAGTGGCATCACCATTGGCACAGTACTGGGCTTTGTGGTTGCCCTCAAAAGTGTGAAGCCAGTCTAAAACATATTTCCAGCATACTGACTGATGTACATCTGCAATGGGAACCTTATTTTTTTGGCAGAAAGATTGCTTGCGTACAATATTTTCGATGATTTTTATATACATAGGCATAAGACAATGGGCTACTGTGCACTTACCTTCGTTCGGTCCCAGTGTAACAGAATGGGATTCAGTAAGAATATCTTTGACTGGTTTACTGTTGTATATTATGGCGCTGGCTGTCATGTTGACCTTTATCTTCTGGGATTCAGCCACAGAGTTTTTGAACGTCAAGCTGAGTTTCAGATCATCACCAACTTGTGTTTCGGCCGCTTTTTTAAAACTGGCAGAAAATTCCGGTATTGGGGGAGCAGAGGAATCACTAAACATTTCCCTTGCAGTAGCAGAACCCACCATTGTAACTGGCGGCTTGACTATTTGCTTTGCTTTTTCAAAGATCTCTCTTTCTTTATCAGAACCTGGAAGAAAAAGATGATATAACAGTAAATGAATGTGGGCCGTGAAATACCCTGCCAATTTTTTATTTTTTTTTAGTTTTGGATAGCGTAGGATAGCATCGGGGAGACACAGCAGGAAGAGGAGATGTCTCGGAGATGTTTGGCCCGAGTGAACTTCTAACTACAGCTTATGAGGATTTTAAATCCCAAATCTTTTCAGTATATCTGTGTTGCCTCACCAGTTCAATTCAGTAGGTCACTGTTCTATCCCTCTGCCTGGTTTCTGTATATACAGGTGAAACTCGAATAATTAGAATATCGTGCAAAAGTAATTGCAGTAAGTGCTGCAAAAGGGGTCCAAACCAAGTACTGAGTACATATGCATGCTTGTACTTTTCAGAGGTCCGATATTGTTCTATGTACAATCCTTGTTTTATTGAATGCATGTAATAATCTACTTTTTTGAGGTTGTGGATTTGGGGTTCTTGGGGTTTTCATGAGCTGTAAGCCATAATCATCACAATTATGACAAATCACGGCTTGAACTATCTTGCTTTGCATGTAATGAGTCTATCTCATATATTAGTTTCACCTTTTAAGTTGCATTAGTGAAATAAATGAACTTTGCACGATATTCTAATTATTCGAGTTTTACCTGTATGTTTGTTTCAAATAAGTAAAGTGCACAGCTTCCATTTTTCTGCATGATGGGTTAGTATTTTATTTAAAAATATATAATAATGATAACGATGATGATAATGGCATAGTAGTAAGAAGGTGCAAAAAGGTTTCCAATTTTAGGCCAGGATCACATCCATCCATGTCCGCTCTTGCCCATTTTTTTAATATCATGCATTGTAGCATATTTATACCCATTTCCGTTACGTGTTGTGGTGCATTTGTAATTCATTATACACGTTTTCATGCATCATGCATCATGCATTTTTTTGGTGTGTCTAATGAGCACTAATTTCCTACAGTGACATCGTTGTGAATTTGGAAGGATCTACTTTCTGGATTTCTGAGTCTTGTGTTGAGGAATGCGATCACAATGTCTGCTATTACATTTTTCAGCAGCTGCCGTGGTAGCTGCCGAGTCACGCCTCATTTTTCAAATGCAATGCAACACATAATATATATTCTCCCTGCTGCTTAGAGTTACATAGTTACATAGTTACATAGTATTTGAGGTTGAATAAAGACATTAGTCCATCAAGTCCAACCTATTAGGATCTCATTCTAGGAGTACCTGTACCCCTGTATATTACGGTCCCTTAAGAAATCGTCCAAAAGTTTCTTGAACAATTCCACATTCTTTGCTGAAATCACCGCCTGTGGCAGTGAGTTCCAGACCCTAACTGATCTTACTGTGAAGAACCCCCTTCACCCCTTATGCTGGAATTTGTTTCCCACCAATTTTAGGCGATGGCTTCTAGTTTTTGTAATGGAGTTAATTTTAAACAGTTTATCGCTAATGTTGCTACCACCATAAGTCATTAAGGATTCCTTAAAGTTGGCATGGGACACTGCAGCTGTCACATGCCGGCTCTATCTACCGAGAGCTGAGTGATCATATAACCTCAGCTCTCAGACTCTTTCTCCAGAGAACAGTGACTGTCTGAGATCGCTCCCCAGAGGAATCGCCCCTCTCTGTTCTTCCAGAACTTATTGGTGGGGTAGATAAGGGAGAGGGCGGGTACAGCTGGCTCTGATGGGGGAGGAAAAAAGCAACATTTTACAGCAAAGTGTAAAATTTTTCTTGAGCCAACACAATTTTAACAGTGAATTAGGTTTTCGTTCAAGAAACTCAATTTATTTCAAAATCGAATGTTAACCCCTTCACGATCCATTACATGATAATCCCATCATGGGTCCTTAAGGGGCTAAACAGACTCCTGGCGGGACACTGTTCATATTTCTAGATCAGCTGTTCAGGCCGTCCCCCCATAGCTTATTTAGAGTGGAAAGGTGATACTGGGGTCTTTTGGACCCCAAGTATCACCTTAAAGAGTACCTGTCACCACCAATATGCTATCACATTGGGGGCTTGTGAGAAAAAAAAACGTTAAAGTCCCTTGCCCCTGCGAGCACGTTTGTCTTTATATAAACACGCGTTGGATGCGCCTACGTATGAAAACAACGATTGTGCTACACTTGTTGGGTATCGCCGCACAGGTCCAGAGTGAGAGCAATAATTCTAGGACCAATATTTATGTGTATCTCTAAACTGATGACCTGTAGGAGCTTTTAAAGCATCGTCTATATACTTTTTGGGTACTGAATTTTGTTGCGGTTTCACGGACGCAAACAATTTTTAACCTGGGCAGGTTGGTTATCTATTTACTCGCTGGAACCACATCTTTTATATAGTGTTTTACGGCACTAAATGTATGTTAAGTGCATTTTTCACTAATTTTTGGGGTTTGTTAATAAGTTGCGCTAATGTTGTGCAACATAAAAATTTGCAACTGCAATCATTTTATTCTATAGGGTCTTGGCTTTCAGAAAATATATAATGTTTGGGGGTTTTAAGTAATTTTCAGGCCTAAAATGGGGATTATAACATGTAAAAAAAAAACAAAAAAACCTTGGTCCTTAGGGGGTTAAAATCAAATGAAATTTACAGCAACATTCCACAAATCTCTGATGGCATTATCAAATGTTCTGGCCTGATTTTTCATGCAAATGTTGGTAAGAAGACCTACCAGTGTATGGCCAGCTTAAAAGACTGTCAAGACATTTTCACTAGTAAGCAATGGCTTCCCCGGCATTTCCATTTACCTGCCTGTCACTGACCTGGAAGAATACAAGCAGGCCCGGCGCTACCGCAAGGCAAGTCAGACGGCCGCCTTACGGCGCTGCAGGGTGAGGGCGGAAAAAACAGGGCATTTTGACAAGTACTTGTACATGTCAAACTGCCCCGATGTTTGCTCTATGTTTTTTTTTTCACTTACCTTCGGTGCGGGAGAGCAGCGGCGAGTCAGCGCTGGTCCAGTGGGAGGAGCTCCAGGTGGGGTCCTAATTTAGCTGGCCGGCGACTACCAGAGGATCCCGACATGCACGGCACCTCAGGCAGTCACCGGCCAGCTAAATTAGGACCCCACCTGGAGCTCCTCCCTCGCCGCTGCTCTCCTGCAACGAAGGTAAGTGAAAAAAGGGGAGGGGAGGGGGGAGCAAAAATGCACTTTGCCTGTGTAGACACGGATCCTAGCACCGGCCCTGAATACAAGTCAGGGATGTCATAGAAAACTGATAACTCCTGATCTGTACACTTGTTTCAAGACAGTGCCTTATAACAAATTGAAGTTAGAGGGTCAACATGATAGCCAGAAAACTAGCAAACTCTTCACCCTTTTGTGAATAATCCTGTAGGTCTATGACAGCCTCTGTGCATCTCTCAAAGCAATGTTCTTATGTTTTTACATGTATAAAAAGCAAAATGTTAGCTCAAAGTATGGCTTGTTATTGGAGTTGTTTCTCCCCCGACCCATCATATTAATTCTTGCTCTCCTTGTTTCTTTCTCTGCAAGATTTGCACAAATTACACCATAATTAAATGAGCAGCATCAAAATAAAAGATACCTTCTGGGTATTTGTAGTCATTGGTTATATCCCTGCGTTGAAAAGCACCAACTGCTTTGGTACTGGTGAGCTGCCCCACACCAGCAGGCTCAGAATATGCCAATGTTTTTCTTCCATCCGTATGCTTAATCCAGTGTGCTTGGTCACAATTCACTTCACCAAACACAAATACGGTATCGTAGGGTTTGTCTACATCTCCTTCCTTCACAGCCTTCTGTGAGGTCGGTCCCAATCGGTATCTACCTGCATAAAAACACAGCCATGTATTGTTTGTTAGCAGAACATGATTAGATCTGTAAAGTGTTCAACATTATGGAATGCTCTACTTCATTGCTACTATCTCATTGGTCAGAACTTGTCCCATCCCGACACACCTCACTAAAGACAGGGCTGTATTTACCATAATGTGAGCAGCACCTAGTGCAGCAGGGGAGGGGTGTTAGCACCAAGCCTCAAAATGAGCAACTTATAATAACTGTTTCCCTATTTTGCCCAATTCTGGATGTTTGTCTAACTGTAACCAAAGAAAGGGCCTGTGTCAACAAGCTTTTTTTTTAGCTTTATGCTGGTTTTGCATTTCCATACAAGTTTATGGGAATGTAAAATCCTTCTCGAAGTAGGTCAAATGTACCAATCAATGAATTTTGAATAATCTCAGAAGCATCTCAAACTGATGTCCAAAATAACGCCATTGACCAAAGCTCATCAACAAAGTCCCAAAAACCTTTCCTAAGAGAAATATGAGGGTTGACATTGCTGAGGGTCATACATTCTCCATCTTGGCTACTTTCCTTGCTGTATTCATAACAGTTTAGCTGCAGTGGTGGGTTCAGTTTTGGTTTTATAATTTCAAAGAACATGGAAGCAGAAAATCCCCAGTTGCGGTTCTCCTAGCCTATCTCCTATCATAGGACCTGGTTTAGAGAATCCGAAATATTAAAGTGTACCTTACACTTAAATCCAAGGTCTGCTTATTACGGATCTACCCCATTTATTTTGCATTATACATGTAATACAAAAAAAAATCTGTGGAGACAAGTTAGAAAAAATACTTCCGCATGATGCAACAGTCCTTAGAGTGGGATCCTGAGACAGCTGAAAATCCAAAATCTCTTACACAGCACATGAGTATCTTCTTAAAAAATTTTGAGATACTCAGAATTCCCGTGATCTTACTCAAAGGACTGTGACATCACCCTTTCCAGTGCAGAATTCAAGCTATAGGGCAAATATATTTTCTATATTTTTATGCCAATTTGTTTTTTTTTTAGTGATAATTCCATGATTTGAAATAGAGGGGTGGCCCTGATGTAAAAAGCAGACTTTGCATTTTAGCACAAGGTCTGTTTTAAGCTTTGACGTTTTTAAATATAATAAGCCAGGGTGTAGATCTGCCCTATCCATTCATTAGTTGCTATATTTTACCAAATCAATTTATCCAATAAAGGTCATGAATGGAAGCAGCCTTTAGGTGTATTTATACAGGGCATAATGTGTAGCCCGAATCACATACCTCCGCTACGTTCCTGTGGAGTTGCATCCAGTATTTGCCATCCATTATAAAGTGACCCAAGATCCTTTCTAGTAAAATAGGCTTCATTCCATGCATGGAAGTTCCTGTGAATAGAAACACATAATACTTAATTACTAAAGTAAAAATGGCCATGGTCTGAGTTACTGCAATACAGTATTTTGATTGGACCCTCAAATAACAGACTTGTTCAGTACATCCAAAAACATATTTTCAATTTTTGGTAGTTGTTTGAGAGTTAAACCATGTGACAATTTCTTATATCTTTCAGGGACTCCACTGTCAAATCTGCATATAAAACATCTCCCACATGTCTATTTAGCTGCCTGCAATCTGACTATAAATGGTACATTGGTCTATAACCGGACCTAAAATAGGGACAATTGGAGGAAAGTGAAGATAGATTTTAACCTTTTCAATATTATTTAACCATTTTTAAATTTTGGGCACACATGTGCATGCACATTTAACCAGGATATATAGGATATATAGAGTTATAGTGCCTTCAAGGATCTTGAAACCAAACAATTTTGTATACAGTTTGTTATTGGTTGTTGTGGTTTATAAAATGTTATTTATAAAGTTATGTAATAAAAGTCTGCTTTGGCCATTTAAACTCCACCTTTTCGTGTAGTGCATTATTTGGTTAAGGTTGGTATTGGGTTTCTGGTAAAGGGGTTTAGCCAAAGGGGACCTCTGAGCTACCTTAATCATGGCCTACACAGAGTCCTGACCTCAACCCGATAGAACACCTTTGGGATGAATTAGAGCGGAGACTGCGAGCCCGGCCTTCTCGTCCAACATCAGTACCTGACCTCACAAATGCGCTTCTGGAAGAATGGTCAAACATTCCCATAGACACACTCCTAAACCTTGAGGACAGCCTTCCCAGAAGTGAAGTGAAGCTGTTATAGCTGCAAAGGGTGGGCCAACTCAATATTGAAACCTACGGACTAAGACTAAGATGCCATTAATGTTCATGTGCGTGTAAAGGCAGGTGTCCCAATGCAAGATATAGATATACTGTATATTTATTTATATTGAATTTATTAGGGATGCACCCACACCGGTTTTTCACTATCAAGTACGGATATTTTTTTCCGGTACTCGCCAATACCGAATACCAATAGCGGAAGTCCCAATAAGGAAGCCAGGCGGCGTGTAATGACTCGCCACCTGGCTTCCTGATTAGCTGGGAAGCCAGGCGGCGTGTAAAGACTCGCCCCCCGGCTTCCCAATTAGAAGTGAAGCCGTCTCCATGCTTCTCATCACTAAGCATGGAGCCGGCTTTCTGGCCATTCAGAAAGGCGGGTGCCGTGTTATTACGCGCACCCGGCTTCCTGATTGGCCGGGAAGCCGGCTCCATGCTCCCTCATCATGAGGGAGCATGAAGCCGGCTTCCCAGCAAATCAGGAAGCCGGGGGCCGCATCATTACATGACGCCCGGCTTCCTAATTGGCCAGCTTCCCGACCAATCAGGAAGCCAGGCAGCGTGTAATGATTTTTTTTTCACTTCACTTTATTGCTGTCAAACAGGAGCTAACAAGACCCTGTGTGATAGCATTTGGATGTGACAGGTTCTCTTTATTGACCCTATCACCTCCAACACAGGAGTTATAGCACAGCACTGTGCTGGAACTTCTGTTCGGGTGACTTCAAACCTGTGCCGCCCCTCTGCTCTGCTCCCTCTGCTCCGTGCCGCCCCGAGACCGGGCCTCGGTGGCCTTGTCGGGAATCCGGCTCTGGTTGTAACGTTCTACCTTGTCTCCCAATAGTCCACAAACAGTTTAATTAGGTGCACCTGCCACACTTACCAAATGCTGTCCGCGCTCTCGCCTTCATTCTTTTTACCATTTTCGTCATAGAAATTATCAACCAAGAGATTTCCATCTGTGTCATGAGCAGACTGGAAGTTTACAATCAGCCTGGCTGGTATCCCCAAGCATCTGAGAACTAGGCAACAGAAAAAAAAATTAATGCAAAAAGATTCATCTTCTATTCATGGCATAGATACAGTTGTAATTAAAATTATTCACCCCCCCTCCCCCTTGCAAATAAGGTTTATTGCAAAATTTGCAGACTTTCAGCTGTTTGCAATGAACAAGTTATTAAAAGTTGAATTTGCAGAAACCACTTTGGGGAAACATTATGTTGACAATTGCTTGTGTTTGATTTGTACATTACATTTTGTCAATAAAACTGATTTGCAATGGGGGTTGAATAATTTTGATTTCAACTACATGTCAATTATAGAACTTTCTTCAAAGATTACAAACTTGCTATATAGAAGTATATTCATATAACACAAACGTATGCATTTTAAATAGCTTTATGTATTTGTGTTTATTATCCATGGTCAACCAAAATAGAATTTGTAAAATTTATTTTGCACAATTTCAGATTTAAAGCGACCCTGCCAGGTTTTTAAATAATTTCCAATGCCATCTCCCTGTAAGAAAAAAGACATCTTATAATCACCTCTCTGGTGGCCCAAGTCTCCAACCTCCTCTATGTTCCAGCTCTGCAACCTCAGTCAGCCTCCTTGGCATTCAACATCTCTTTATGCCTGTGCCCCCTGCCACATGCTGTGGTTGCTTTTTCTGAACCCCAGTTCACTGCTTATTCTTTTAGTAATGTAGGTGTCATTAGAAGGAGCCACCCAGCCAGGAAATTGGGCAGTTGAAGATAAAGTCAAATTCTACGTAGTCTTTCTGAATATCATTACATCAGATCTCCTTTCACAATGTGTTTGGACTTGTTTTTTTTTTTAAATTCTATGCGGTTCTTTATGTTTTATAGAAGATTTATAACCTCTGTTGGCTCTTTGTTTTCTGTGTTCTCATTTGTAAGCTTTCTTCCTACTGCTATTTGATGGGTGTTGGACTTATCAGCAAGGGAAGATCTCCTTATTTCCTGTCTATTTGAGGGGTGCCAGATACAACAGGGAGCACCCCTCCCATGCATACAAGCAGCAATGAAAACAATTTTTTTTGTAGTGTGAGGAAGATTTATAACTTTTGTCAGTACTTTAAGGATTTCTATTGTCCCATAGCTGATGAGGGAGATTTCCGCTTTTGGTCTGATGTATAGACCAATATGAAAAAAATTACTATTTAATGACTAAATGTGTTTTACTGCACTAAACTTTATCTTTCCTCCAAAGAATTGCATTTGGCTCTATGAAAAGCCAGTCCAAAGAAAAGTAGTGGTGAAAGAAAGCACTCCTGGGTTCAACCAAACATTTGCATATTCATTTACATTGGGGTTTTCGGCAGGGTGTGTCCTTGCCTACTTACTTTTATCCCAACAGGGGCTCCACTTTCTCATCCTTTAAATTTGGGAAGATATCCTCATATCTCAAACCTCCGAACAAAGTGCAGTTGTACTAAAATTATTATGCTGTTAGGCCTAAGACATTCTTTTGAAAAGCTTTACCTGTACAAAGTACTCCTGCATACACCCAACACTGCCCAAATTTGACCGGTCCATTTTGCATCCACTGGCGGAGAATGGGGGCACTTCCGTTCCATGTTGTAGGGCTCAATCCACCACTGTAGTTTCCACCCCAGTTCCCAACAATGACTCCATTGTCATCATTGCTGTTTACCTAGAGAATACATTTGCATTGCTTTGTCAAGTTTGTTAATGTGTAATTCTTTTTTGCGTCAAGTTAAAAATATTCCACCTACCATAGCACTTAGTATTCTTCCCACGTAAATGGGATCATTTCTGCGAGACACATGCGTGGCTGGGTCCTTCTTGTACTCTGGACTCCTGTCAAGCAAGGCCAGGGTGATGTTCAAGATGTCCTTTTCAAGCTGTGGGATTAAACATAAAATATAAATCTCAGCTAAATGTCATGATTAAAACAGTGATGAAATGAAGGCATATACTGTATAGCAGGGGGTCTCAAAGTACCAGCCCACAGGCCATTTGCAGCCTACAGACCAGTTACTTTTGGCCCGCAGGCAGGGCTGCTAGGTAGAGCCGGCCCTCTTGTACTGGGCCTGGGCTTCATCATGTCAACAGAGGGGCACAGGGATAGAGAGGGGGCTCTTACCTTTTGCTTTAGCCAGGGGCATAGCTAGGGTTGCCACCTGTTTGGAATTCACCCGGACCGGTCCAGGGTTTTTTTTAAAATTTTTATTAAACAATTTTCAAAGTATGCAAAACAAGCACTGTAGATGTATAACAATTCGTAGAAGAGAATAAGACTGACATTACACATCAATGTGATTTTGATAACATTGATAAATGGATGAGCATGTTGATTACCATTAACGCATGGTAAGTAGCCAAAGAAATAACACTATATATATATATATATAGATATATATATATAGTATTTAATGAGGAATACATAATATAAGACAGAGCAATGGAGCAAGAAATGAGTAAGAAAGGTAAAGAGGAGAATGAGAAGGTAGATCAGAAAGAGTGGCGATTATGGTAATTAGGGACACTCAGGATGGACAGGCATCAGCCCCATGTATATATGATAAAATGTTATGAGGTATTATACATCTTCCTCACATAGCATCCAGGGAGGCCATATGGCAAAGAGCTGAGGATACCGGTTGTAGAGTTGAGCCGTCAATTCTTCCATATGCATCAGTTTATTGAGTTCTGAGATCCATTCCAGTGTAAATAGAACCGAGTCAGATTTCCAGTATCTAGGAATGACAGCTCTGGCTGCAGTGAGGAAATATCGTAGTAGATCCTTTTAAATAGAGGAGAAGGAATCGAGAAGGACTGATAGGAGAGCTACTTGGAGGGGCAGGGGGGTCGAGGAGGATAAGAGGATGTGACTTTTCGGCACGTATCAAAGACTGGATCCCAAAAAGGACGTAGTTTAAGGCAGTCCCACCAGATGAAGCATGGTACCTACTTCAGAGAGAAAGCACCAGCATGCGCCTTGTATCATAGGGAAAAATCTGTGAAGATTGTATGGACATTGGTACCATCTGGTTAACATTTTGCAGTTACACTCTTGGGCTGTGCTAGCAGGAGAAAGGTTGTGTGTCAATGAATAAGCTTTGCATCTGTCATTCTCAGAAAAGGTGCAATTGAGTTCTTTTTCCCATGCGTGCATGTATGGTGGGGTCCCAGATTCTCTTAGAGAGATAAGTAGTTTGTATAGTGTAAAGATCAGGTGAGTAGGGGTTGTTGGAAGAAGATACAGTTTCAAATGCAGTAGGTGGTCTATGTGGCGCAGACGTCTTTCATAGCGACTAATATAAGTCACGGAGTTGAAATTATAGGAGCCAATCACCTGGGGAGTAAGTAAATTCTTCCCAAAGTGAGGACATCGGTTTTAGGCCATAAGAGGAGAGGGCAAAACAGATGTAGGAGGGTTGTGCAGAATGGCCATCAGAGAAATGAAGATTTATCACAGCCTGGTGGAAAACCAGGGTTATGTAAAATTGGGGTCATTGGACCATCATAGGTGGAAATGTGCCAAAAACATACTAACCAGTCCCAGGTATGCAATATGGATGAGACCCTAAATGGAAAGAGAAGATATCAAGGGCAATTAGTAGGGGCAATTCAACAAAGGGACTATACTGGAATAGGAAGAAGCAAGCTATCAAGCTGCACCCAGTCTTTATGAGAGGAGTTATGTATGGCACCTAACAGTCTAGTCAGATGTGCAGTTAGGTAATGTTGCATAATATTAGGGAGATTAACTCCCTCTAAATGTTTAGGTAGAGTTAAGACCTGAAACTGTAGTCAGGGTCTACGTCATTTCCAAATATATTTAAGAAGGCCAGATTTAAGTGTGCAGAAAAAAGATTGGGGAAGTGTCAGTTGAACAGTCTGAAATAGCTAGAGTAATCTAGGCAGGATGTCCAGGATGTCCATGTTAAATAGTGCCATGTGACCAAACCTTGAATGGGATTTTGTGTTCCAAACTTTGAATTTGAGAAATAAGCATCAGTAGAGGTTTATAATTAAGGTTGTACATGCGATCTAAATGAGATGGAATCAAGATAACCAGATATTTTAACACCTCAGGTCACCAAATAAAGGGATAAGAGGCCTGTAAGTTGGTAACCGCCAAAGAGTCTAAGGTAACATTCAGAACCTCATTCTTATGCGTATTAACTTTAAAATTGCTTAGGGGCCAATTATCTTTAATATCTGGGATAGAGCAGGGAAGGCCGAGTTAGAGCGCTGTAAGCGGCCGGTGTCTCGCCTCCCACACCGCTCAGCCTCCTGTCACAGTCCGGCACAGCAGTGTGTGGGCAGAGACAAGTCGCACTGTCACAGGAGGCTGAGCTCTCCTCCCTGCACCGCTGGATAAGCCTCCTGTGACAGCGTGTCAGAGAGGAGAGCGAGGTACAAGCACTCAGCGATCGTTGAGTGTTTGTACATAATTGAGGACATGGTATGTGTACTATATCCTCCATTGTGAATGAATGGGAAGTGATCTACATCCCTTCCTGTTCATTCATAGTTGTAGTTATAGTAAACATACTCTGTCCTCAAGTTATGAATGAACAGGAACACTCCTGTTCATTGATAACTGGGGATACAGTTATTTTTAAAGGGAAATATCAGGGGTCTGTTTAGACCACTAATATTTCCCCAAAGCCCCTAAAAGTAAAGTAAAAAATAAAAATATTTAATAAAAAATGAATTAATAAATACAAATAAATATAAAAAAATTAAAAAAGTTTATTAA